TCAATCAATCAATCAAACCCTTTTATTGCATATAACTAGTTTTGACCTTACATTTTGCCCCACTTGAACTAGGGCTTCATTCCTTGCCATAAGTTGCCATACAGGGACACAAGTGTTTCACAAACACACCTTTATGGAACGCCGTCACTGCCTTATAGCAGAACACTACTGTTGCATTGTGTCAACCTTCCATTACATTATGTCAACTCTTTATGACATTAACCCACCCTACTATTGCATTGTGCCAACCTTCCATTACATTATGTCAACTCTTTATGACATTAACCCACACTACTATTGCATCGTGTTAACTTTCCTTTACATTATATCAACTATTTATGACATTTACACATACTACAATTTTATTTCGTCAACTTGCATTTCGTTATGTTTACTTTTCATGACAATCTTAGTTTTTATTAACTGATGTGAAAAGCTCATGCCATGACTGTGCACATAACCTCGGACGTCAACTGATCTTCCATCTTGCTGACATTATGTCCATTCACTTATTACGTTATGCAAAGAATACTAACATTTGCACGGGTTATCCTTTACGGCCTTTATATGAGCATAACGTATTTTCCGAGGTTTGAATGGAGCGTTCCGCAAGCACTAAAATGGCGGGAGAGAAAACTGGCGTAGAAGAGAGATTCTCAGCGATTTCGGAATGACATCTTTAAATGAAAACTTTAAGCGACAAATGATTGACAATCTTGAAACATGCAAAGCCTTAACACTGCGACTGTGAATTAAAGTCACGTCGAAATTCAATATGGTGTTTACTTTAATCTGATGATTAAATTAATCAAATATTATGAGTCGTGCAGCAATCATTTTTTTCTTTTTATTTTGAATTGGTTTTTTTATAAAAGTCTTAAACTTTGTAGGACATTGCATTAGTTTCACATTAAGTTTAGCTGAATTAAGTTGAAAACTTTTTTCTATAAAACTATAAAGCCTGAGAGCTTCTCCGCTTTTCCGCCCTTGGTCTCCTCCACCATATACCGTCCCCCTTCCTTGTTCAAGATTCCCATATCTGCCACTAATATGTGCCCATGCATGCTTACTAAGGCATATTCAATTGATTTAGATGAAGCCTGAACTGGTATTTTTGTAATAGAATTCTGGCCCTGGAATGATTAAAAAAATTACTAACTCCAGTGACGTAGCATCATTTTTTTGAAAGAGGAGGTCAGCCAGTAAAAAAAATCATTTATCCGAAAAAACTAGACAAGCCAAGAAAAAAAATGTCCAAGCCCGAAAATCCTATTTCGGGGAGAGTGGTCCAAATTCAATCAATCCTATTTTTTTTTACAGATATATTATATTACCCTTAGTGGACTATATTTCAACAAGAAGTGGGAGTGGGGGGCTGTACAGTTTCAATGAACATTACATTTTCTATAGTAAAGTTATGTGTGTGTGTGTGTGTGTGTGTGTGTGTGTGTGTGTGTGTGTGTGTGTGTGTGTGTGTGTGTGTGTGTGTGTGTGTTTATATTATGTGCCTGTAATTTGTCCTAATCAATCACGACCCCCCCCCCTTCTTACCAGTCATTAAAACACGGTCGTCAACATTTATTATATACTAGATATACAGCTTTGAGATAATGTAAATGTATTTTTGCATCAGGTAATGAACTTGGAATCCACATGATAAAGAGTTAACACAATATAAAGATAATTTTAAATCACATAAGAAAGAGTTGGCATAACGTTATAATATATCCACATCACGGTATGGAGTTTTGACATAATGTAATAAAGTGTTGATATAATATAAAGATATGTTCACGTTATGTTATACACTTTTTACACCACGTAATAAAGCACTGACATAAAGGTAAGATGTACTCACCTCACATCATGATGCCCTCGCCGTAAAATAAAGATAAATCCATATCACGTAAGAATACTTTGATATAATAGAAATATACACTCTCAAAAAGGAATGGGCTTTTGACTTCATATGTGATGATAAGTTTAATTATAAAACACAATTTACTTGACGTAATGCAATTTTGACCTCACATATTAAAGAAATGAAATGATGTAAAGAAACATTCATTTCACGTAATAAAGTTTTGACACAATGTAAACACATTATCACTTCACATAATTAATTTTTTACTTCAAGTTATGAAGTGCTGACATAATGAAAGGATGTATTTACTTCATGTAATGCAGGATTGACATGATGTTAAGATATATTTTCATCATCCCATAAAAAATGGACATAACGTAAAAATATGTTCACATCACGTAATGATAAATTGACGTAATAAATGCATAGTTGTATGCTATAAGGCAGTGATGGCGTTCCATACACCTTGTTTTAATATGACTATGGTATGATATGAACATTAATGAATTTGAGATCCTTGAGCCGGTACGGTGTATGGGCTTGGTGAGTAAGGGGTAAGGGTTTAAGCGAAACATTACATAAAAGAAAAGTTTAGAAGATCTAAAAAGGAACCTCCATAATCAGGGAAAGCATATTCTACCATTTTTATTGCCAAATCTTCTTCAGACATTTCAGGGATCATATCTCAATAAGATATGAACAGTTTTTTCTAATTATTTGGTTTTCCCTCTTGGAAAATCAGTGAAGCAAACATTAGTAGCATTTTATATTGCAATCCTATGCGCAGATTTTTGTTGTCTTTATAATAAGTGTTACCCTGCATGGAAAACATTGCAACGGAATTTTTTTTCAATACAAAGAAACATTTGTCTTAAAATATTTTCCACTATTGAACAAAAAACAGGTTTAATGACCCTTTGCCGATTTAGCCAATTTTCCTGCCTTTTCGAGTAGAAAAGGTTACATATATACACAATTGATAGGTGACCATGGGAATTCGTTTTGTAAAAAGTTCAAAGGAATTCGAAGTCAACGCAGAACTTCGAGAATTGTACAGAATGAAAGTAGACCTACATAACTGTAAGTTACTTACATTTATTACCAATCAAATGTGTGCGAGTCAATGCCTTTATTTTTCTATGCTTGTTTACAGCAGTGTTGTACGTGACCAGAAAATACCCCGGGACCCGGTATTTGGACGTTCTCTATAGAACACACTGAAAGAAAAACATAGTTAATTTATTTAGACTAAGTGTACATGTACCTTGTAAAGCGTTCGTCGTGATTAGTAACCATTCCGTTTACTAGTCAAGATAGTGAATATAGTAGAGTGGGGGTCATATATATACATACATGTAAAACGTGTACTTAGATACCTAATGAAAGTTATACTTATAAATTCTAGATTTACTAATATTATCTAGTAAATCTACCTAATACCCGGTAAAACTTCTTTTGAGGTAATGAGTGTATGGAAAATGAATTTACAAGTCTTCTTACTGATTTGACTTGTTATTTTTTTAGTGCATCAGATTTAAGGTTTCCATATTTCAACTTCAACATAAAAGTTACATTGACGTTCCTTAATTCCTTTGGTTTTTTCAATCATTGGACCTCTTAAAAAAAAAGAAAGTTGGGAGCGCTCCTCTGGGTAAAAATAGGACCGTCACGACAGTTTTTTCTCTAATTCCAGATTTTCGATCAAACTTTATTATTTTTTTTTTGGCAATAAAAAGTGCACCCACTTGTCGTCATCCAAAGTTTATCAAATCTTTTGTTGTTTGTTAAAATATTTATTTAAGGAATCACTGTCTAGTTAGTATAGTATGCCAGGGCACCAACGATAGTGGGAAACATGGGATAATTTGCATAACGGACTTCGATCGCCCCCTGAGAGCTCCTGGATTTTCGTGTATTTCATATGTTTTAAAAAAAAAACAGGCACAAAAATAGTGCATATTTTTCAATTAGTTTTGTTAAAAGTGACATATAGGTCCGGATGTTTGAATATTAATAGTATTGAATGTTTCTCATTGTACTGTATTATAAAACATGCCACTATATAATAAACGATTTACTTAGTTACTAATAGTGATATTGGTTAGTTATGTACCAAAGTACGGCATTATTACTACTAGTCATATCATACTTTGAATGGTGGGGGCCCAGGGGGCGAAGCCCCCGACAATTCCTGGGTTTTCGTGTATTTAAAAAACTAGACACAATAACAGTGGTTTTGCTTAGTTATGTACCAAAAATGTGGCATTATCAATACTAGTCATAATTATCATACTTTGAAAATTTTAAAGGGGGGGGTGCGCCTCCACCCCCACGCACCCATTTAACTCCGCCAGTGGATAAATAGGAACCCTTGTTTCTGTAACATCAATATTTGGCCTACTGTGTACTGCATTTAATTACAACAGGAAGACGATTTTAAAGACAAGCATGTGAAAAATTAGTTAGAATAATCTAACTGTGACTCGGGACAAGCCCTCGTCCGTAGCTATAGCACATTATCATTTTTACGATGGAACATTCTATCTAATAAAAAAATATGTTGAGGATAAAAACATAAATCTAAAAGGTTTTTTATGAATGATGAAAATTAACTCATCGTCGTAAGGAAGAATTTTAATGCCTTTTCTATTTTTACAAAAAATCCCACAGGTATTTGTGGACAGCCTCAAAACCCCAAAATAATCAATCCACAAAAAATAACCCACTATACATTATAAGAGGGAAAGTCTTTTTTGTGGAGCGATTATTTGGGGTTTTGACGATTTGTTCATATTGCAAACATGTTGAATAAGTGTACTAAATTAAATTTGAAAAAAATGTCTAATAAGCCCAGGGGTTAAATAGGGGGGGGGGGGGGGGGGGTCCTGTCCAAAGTACCTGTGAAAAATCCCTGGCTTGCGATTATGAATTAATTAACCCATTGGTTTGGTATCTTAATTATATTCTTTAATTAATATATACAGTACCCTAATAGATTTCGCGAATGATATTTATTAGGATGAAATGAATTATTTGCTTATTCATCAAGATAAATATGTGACTAAATTAAAGATCTGAAAGGATTGTCGTTTTTTTCCGGAATTAGAAAGTTCATTACCGGTTTAATCAAAACATAGGGGACAAGCATTTCCGGTTTTGACATATTGCCAAAGCAAAAAGAAAAATATTGACTTGGGAGTCTTGCCACTGTGTTGCAAGTATTGCTAGTAATGTGAGTCTTGATTTTTCTTTTTATTGTTTGTAAAATATTTATTCTAAAAATTGGTATTCGGTTTACATAATCTATTAATTGTCACACGGAAAAGGGGAATAAAGGGGCGGGGCACTAATTCTGTACTATCTGTGTCTATGGATATGAAAGAAACAATACATTTACCGTATAATAAAAAGGTTACATGTTCTCGATACTCTCCTATCAATAGAAGATGCCGATGATCATGATATAGAAGTGTTACTATAACATATGTATTGTAAATGAAATTTTAAACGTTAATCTGTTGAGGGTAAAACTTTTTCTTTAGAGAAGTGGACAGGCTATGCCTACACCCTGTACTTCTCTAAAGAGAATAAGGGTAAACATGAATATGTACTTTATAAGCTCAAACCCCACCTTTAAAAAAAATATATTGACAGACCGGAGAGCTACAGTGCCACCCATTGAAAAAACTGTATGTTTATTGCGCACAAAAATGTGCGCTTTTTCTCGATTTATATCTCCGTGTTTTTAAAACTGTCATCTCAAAATGTAACTAACCACGTTTTTCTAACTTATTCTTTCACTGCTTCCACCACAAAACATTCCTTTAATATAGCTGTTTTATTAGCCCTCCTGGCCCTGAAATTGAGATCATCGGAAATTTCGCCTGTTTATACTTCCATTTTGGTTTGCAAGATCCAATGTCCAATGCGCCTCGTACAGATGTAAACTACAAGAGTTTCTGATAGAGGAGTAAGGACTTTTTATTAAAATCTAGCTTTTTTGCAATTGAGGTAATTTACGACTTTGGAAGAATTAATCCAGAACCGAGCGCACTTTTTTTGTGCGCAATAAATATATAGTTTTTATTAATGGGTGGCACTGTAGCTCTCTGGTCTGTCAATATATATTTTTTCGTAGAGCTACAGTTCTGCGGCTAGTACTTTATATGAATTATAATCCTAAAGATTTTTGAAAAATAAAGGAAAATAAATCTCCAAACTGGAAAATCCTATTTTGTAAAGGAGGTGGGCTTTCATTTTGTTTTCACAACCAAATTTCTTTATATATTACAAAATTAGGCTTTCTCTGAACATTTTCTATAGTAAAAATACAACAAAAATTTTGGACTTTCTTCATTCTCTTTTTTTTTACAAATCCAAAGAGCGGGGGGCATTGCAACCCCTGTAACTCCCCCTCTGGATCCGCCACTGTGTAAAATTTTAATTTTCTTTAATTGTTCAATTAAATTTCCCAAATATGCATGTTAAAGATGATGTTATAAAAATGTGTTTTAGGTTAATGTGAAATTAATATGAATTGAAAAAACCATTGTTGACCTAGGCAAAAACTTCAAGATTTCAGAAATAGTTTTCATGTGATAACAATTTAACATTAACCTAAAACATGCTAAAATAGAACATGATTCACTTAGGGCCTCTTTGTTTATTTTTTGATCAAGGAGTACATTTATTCTCTGAAAGTACTCAACTTATCTGTTTTCCTTTAAATTCAACAACATTGCAATATTTGTTTTCCAATACACATCTTGATCTTTTAAATAGATCCTGGGATGTCTTATCCAATAACAGTGAAGAAGAGTGTCTTTAGAGGAGACATGGGAAACCTACGAGAAAATATAGATAATTTAGGAAAGAATAAAGAATGGGAAAAACTTCTAGAGTCTGTAGATGGTAATGAAGAATTGGCTAATTCTACCAGGTGTGTAGAAGAAAACATAGAGACCACTCTTAACACACCACTTCATTATGCTGCACTTGGATCTGCTCCCAAGGATGTTTTCGAAAAACTGCTTCAAATTGGATCTGCTAAATGCCTAAAAAATTCTGCAGGGGAGACAGCATATGATATCGGCGTAAAATCTCAGCTCCCTCAAGATGTACTAGAGCTGATTAAAATCCCACAAGAAATAAAACAGAAAGAAAAAATGATACAGAAATTCGAGGAAGGCTTACATAAAGTCATTATGGAGAGAGTTGAAGATTTAATAAAGGACAATAAGCAGAGTCTTCCTCAAGTGGCATATTTGTTTGAGAAGGGAAGCTTCTACTTTCCTGTTCCAGGGATGTATGGTGGATTCAATGTTGAGAAAAATGGAAAAAATAAAATCCAAATTAGCTGGAAAAGGGTTTGTGGAGGAAGTGGACAAACTCATGAAATTGACAGTGACGGGAATGTGAAACTGACAGAAGAAGGGTTCGTTTAAGATCTGAATATATGCCTGTGATATACTGTGGAATCACAAATTTTCATGGTGGTTTAAATTTCATTGTTATTGAAGTGTGAGGAGACCCATGATAATTTATGTCCACCACGAAATGTAAAACGTTACATAAATACTCTCGATTCTTCATCCACAAAATCAAATCCCCAGGAACTAAGTTTTTTTCCTCCAACCACGATAATTTGAACCCATGAAAATAAGTGATTTTACGGTATTATTTCTTCCTTCTCATGTGACATAGAGGCTATAGACATAGTAAGCTCTTCTTATCAAAGTTTGGCTGCTTCAGTGATGCTTGCCATATTGCATGTATGTATGTGTGGTTGAAATAATCCATTGTTAACCAAATTTTTTTGAGAACAGCATTTGAGGCTATTTCAAGCAAACTTGCTTAATCAAGTATGTTCAATGTTTTCAAATATTGATGCTAATTAAATTTTTTTATCCTACATGTACCCCTTAGATTTGATAAAAACACAGCAGAGGGCTATTCATAATATGTGAAATTGATGCAGACTTTATTCAAAAGGCCTCCAATTTGGGTTATTAGAAGAGATCTTATTGGAAAGGACTGTGAATACAAGATTATTTCAAACTTATAGAAGTTCATAGTTTTACTACAGTGGAATTTTTTTTTACATGCCCTTACAAAATAGTTCTATTTCACAGAGATTTATTAATAAACACTACATTCACTTTAAAAAATAAAATAATGACATATATGCCAGCCATCTTTTATTATAAGTGTGTAAAAAGGGCAAGAACTAGGAATTAATGTTCATACTTCTTCAATCAGGGAGAGGGTAATGTGTCACAGGTGAGTGGTGTGGCCCACAGGCCTCTTGATTTTCTAATCCCTTTCCCTCCTAACTTATTATATCTTTTACTTGCATTTTTATTTAAATTGGAATATCTTTTTCAACTGTATTTGTATCATGTTCATGATATTAATATTAATTTATATTTGATAGTCTTTATTCTTATGTAATATTATTTTATTGTATTATTGTATATTGTTATTTCTCCATTCAAGAATAAAACAAATTCATTTTTAAATGTGACTCTGTACTTTTAGAACATTGAAAACAATGAAGATCATGGATTATTACTATTGATAAAGATTGAATTGGTGATGTTGAGAAATAAGATTTGTCAAGACAAATATGAATAATCTTCTAAAAATACTGTTTACACAAAAAGAAAATATACCCTTGTTTCCTGTCCCCTGACCAAAAAAGGGGTTGGTAGGTAGGAAAAAAATTATTTTGAATTTTTTTTTTCAAAATTCAATGAATACAGAAGACACAAGAAAACGATATTAACAGTTTACAAAGTAAGTTTTTTGATAATCATGATAATGCTCCATTTTCTACATTCTTTGAAATGAATAAGGGTAGAAATTTCAGAGACAACAAAATTTAAAAAAAAATTTTTTTCAACACAATTCATCTTATACAAAACATCCATTATCTCTATATTATGACAGAATTGTGCATCTACATACTTACAAGAGAGAGAGAGAGAGAGAGAGAGAATTACAAAATTAATTGGTTCCACCTGTTCCACTGATTGTCAAAGTTTTCTTTTCAATATTTTTTACGAGATAAATTTTTGGTATTTTGTAAAAAATGATTCATCTGTGATACCACCGAGTGCACATTTCGAGTTTTTCAGTACATCTAGATGTACTTGTATGAATATAATATTTTAACCATAAAATTAGATATTTGCTATTTCATTATTTCTTCCTTCAATACCTAAAATTAATAAATAATTTTTTTTTTGGGGGGGGGGGGGTTGCAACTAAACATTTTTCTGCTGGAAATAATATTAAAAGTTTCCAAGGAGTAATTGTACAAGGTCACAATCCCATAGGATATGTTCAATTGTTTCTTTAACAAAAAAAATAATTACATCCTCATTGCATGCTGATCTCAAACATGCCATGAAATATGGTCAACGTTAATCATGCACTTTTTAACAGGTCTGCCCAAGTTTTGTATTCAAACGCTTCTGCGAAAACATTAAATATTATTACCTAACCTACTATATAAATTGTAATTAGGCATTATGAACTGTTTCACAATTTATTTTATGTTTTTGCATGACCATGAAACAGTGAACTGTTGACCGGGGCCCCAAAATGAACTGTTGCCTTTTAAAGCTCATCATGATATTCAAGCGTTTTGATGATCACGACATCACTATTTACCTGCTCTATAATTAATCAAATTTAAATAAAACACACAAATAATCAATTTATTAAATATTCTTTTAAAATTTAAAAATTTTTAATTTAAATTTTATATTATGTGTTGCTAATTAATAGACAAGTATGTGAATAAACAGTTGTGAAAACTTGTTATTGATTGTTTGTGTGTTTTTATTCCAATTCACTAATTCGTGCATGAGCTTAAAAAGCGGGAAGGTATATAGTGATCGAGATGCATGGATGTCTGATTGTCTGTCCGCTGGGCTTTTGACCCATTTCTTATCGGCAACTCCTAGCTGTTATACATGTACCACTGAATGAAATTGTAACGAGACGTTCACAGAATCTTTATCACATTGTGCCATATTGTACACCTCCTATTGTAATTTTTGACCAGAAACATATTTCGGAGGGTTTTCCGGCATAGCAAAAATTGACAGTGCCACTTTTTCTATTTGATCGAGGGGTACCCATCTCTTATCCGCATCACTTCCTATACCACTGAATAAAATTTAATGATACTTTCACAGATTCTGTATTACATTTTGTACCTCTGTTACAACGCACTTTGAAAAATTACGCACTTTGAAAAAAAAATAATTTTTTTTTCAAACTGCGTTAATATCGACCATATTAGCGCACTTTGAAAAAAAAATGTAAAGCTTGATCAATGTTCTCACAAATAATCGGTATGATAAATAATTGATTGATGAACGGTTGGATAGCTTTTTTTTATGATGAGGTCACTTCAGGACATGAGATATTGAATATTTAAATATCTTAGGTTTTGATAAAAGTTATAAAAGGGAAATTGGTCTTGTAGAAAAAATAGAGAGATAATTGTTTAATATCATTATTTTGTTTCTGTTTAAAAATTCTATTCTGTAATAGGTAGATGTAAAGGGGGGGGGGGGGCTAAAAGTGAATGACTTAAAGCATTGAATTTATCTTAAGAAAAGGGGCGAATTTGATTTTTCAAAACTATAAAAGTTCTTTCGCTCTCATACTTTTTACTGTGCTTACATTTTTTTAGTTTCCATCTGTATTGAAAGTTTTCAACGTCATACCATTATTTAAATACATATTATATATACATGTACCTGTTTTGGGTATATAGCATAGGTATGGAAACCGGGCGAAGACAAGAGCACCCCAATTATTTTGGAAAGATATACATCATATAACTAATAAGCATTGAAAATGCAGCTTATCATTTTTGGGATTTATTACTCCCCTCCCCCTTTTTTTTGTTACCGACGCCTATGTATTGGAATGATAAAGATTTGGACTGATAGATTTTCTATCCGTCTTCTCCTCTTCTCGACGGGAGTAAATCAATACATAAGTGTTTTGAAAGATAAATTACAAATAAAATATTTCCATTACTAAAATCTCAATCCAGAATTTTTTGTTTTTACATATTTTTTCAAAGTGCGTTAAGTGTCTCCATGATAAAATATATTGATGTATACTCTTAACGCACTTTGAAAATTTTTTTCAAAGTGCGTTGAGTTGGTCCCAAATTTAAAGCACTTTGAAAAAAAATTTCAAAGTGCGTTGATTTTGTCCCAATTTTAACGCACTTTGAAAAATTTTTTTCAAAGTGCATAATTTTTTTCAAAGTGCGTTGCCACACACCTCCTATTTTTCTTTTTGATCTGGCACTTATATCGGGTCTCCCAGAACAAAACATGGACTTTGCAATTAAAATCATATAGGAGACGGGGGTATCATTTAGTGAGCTCACTGCTCACAGTACATCTAGTTTATTTATTAATTCATAAACAA